TGCTTAAGTTGTATTTTCTATTAGCCAACATGGCTTGCCCGGTGCGATCGGTATTGAAGTTGACATAATGTAAACTGATACGGGGACAGAGCCTGAAACATTTATATAGCCGTGTTGAGTTTCATGTGAAATTACAAAGGGTGCGTTCCTAAATCCTTGGCGATGATTCAAAGCAGTTTTCTGGCGAAATATCTGTCGTTAAGTCAATTTTTGACGGTTTCTAAATATACTGACGCACGTTCTGGGCCTACACGGACAAAGTCAGTTTTAGGAATCTGTCAGTTCAAAGAAGTATTTTGGTCAGTCATATGCCAGGAACAAGACTCGTATAGCATGTATAGAGCGCCGGAGATACCTTCGAAAGTATCCGTCAATCGAGACCACTCGCCCAAGTCGGAAGACGCCGAATCGTCACGGGAAGATGTGAAGCTTGACGTAGGAATACCAGCTGCACGTCATCAGCTAGATTCCGCTAGCTGACGGACTGTTCTATCATAAGTCATATCTCTGTCTGAATGCAGCCAATGCCCCGTTCCACATCTTAGCATTATATTACGCTGAAATGTCATTAGAATGACTTACACGTACATGTAGCTAACTTTACGATATACATATACATATATATTTAAGACGCTACACGTAATTTGTGAATGTATTCAAAACAGTCACAACCACACGCCAAAATGTTTATGCGTAGAAAATTATTTTATGTATAATTTAACAATATATTTAACTGTTTACCTTATCATTTACATTCTTAATATATATATTCCTAAATTATGACTATGATTATAACATTATGTATAATTTTATCTCATTTTACATTATTTTATAAAGAACTTACATTTGTGTAAGATATAGTCTCTCGTAACCCCCTTGGGTGGCATTGGTACTTTTAAGTTTTTAGATATTTAAAATGCTTCATTTAACCCCTGCTGTACAAATGGTGAGACTTTAATAAACTATATTGTATTGTATTGTATTGTATTGTATTGTATTGTATTGTAACGTCCTTTCAGCGTTATCGGGTTGAATTTTAATTCCCTTTTTCTGAAAACAGTATGCTTGGTCAACATATATTCCTCTAAAGCTAAACTTTTCAAGTATATCTTTTGACAATTTGTATTGATATAGATCAAATGTTTGAACGTATCCACCTCAAATCTTTTCATTGTATCCACGTAGGTACATTTAACCTATTTTACCTGTTAAAGTCTTCCACGATGTGAAAAACAATATTGTAATCCAAATAGTAATTTCTTAATACCAGACTTAAAGCCTACGTAACAATTCGGTGAGGTGAGGTGAAATTGGGTTTAACGTCGCGACCAAGATTATTGCACTTATGTAGCGACGTGCATGCACGTGTGTGTGTGTGTGTCTGCCGATTTATAGTGCTAGCACACTATGCCGCAGTTTAACATAAATACCCCACTCAGACACAGTAAACTGACTCCGAGCCGACCGGTCCCTGTTTCAGCACCTTAATGCCGAGCGCCAGACAGGGTAACAACAAGTACCATCTTTTAACGTCTTTTGGTACGACGCGGCCGGGGATCGAACCCCGGACCTTTTGACCACGGAGGCGGTCCTTAACAATTCGGTTATACATAGGGTCACAATGAAGTAGGAATCATGAATTTAGCGTGAACCGCACAACGTCAGATCCCGTCACATATACACGTAGTCCCCATACCATGACGGCTAGGATTAGATACAGGTTCTTCCTGTAAAGTAACTAGGTCTAAGCTTTTATTTAACGATAAACGCAAACGGAATAATTTGAACTGTTTTAAATTATCACGACTGTCGCCATGTTGTGTCATGTGATAGTCACGTGGACGAAACTAGTTCCAAAATGGATTCCAGTGATGGCCGAGTCCCAATATATAGGCCGGAGTCGATCCGAGTGCCTGATCTACATGATGACAGAGACACCGATTGAGGGTAGCCGTATCACACACTGCAATGTTTCAAAGACAATGAACGGTTGTTTGGGAATAGGTTTTCATGTTGTAGCTGCACGCCAATCAATGCATAGCAACATTACCATGGTGATAAGTCTCATCATGGGGCCGAGGGATTAGACTAACATCTAGTCTCTGAAATGAACATATCGTACAGAAAAAAACAGTTGTTCAGTTATCTTAGTTAAAATATAATAAAAGGGAGCCAAGTGACTCTCTTCATTTCCTGATACTGCAGTAATCTAGACTTGCCAAACATTATAGACTTGCATGGGCTGTATTTGACATATATTTGTATCAGGGTCTGTAAGACAGACTACCGAGGGATGTACATGTGTGCACGTGTGTGCCCCAGATTGTGACGGATCTGCAAGATTCAGATGCAGCTCAAACCAACTCTTTATCGAGTTATCACTTTTGTGATTTAAACACTGTAGAAAATGAATATATTTACTTGCTGATATGTCAATTGTATGCCTAACTCAGAAAACAGTTAATTGATAATAAAATATTACATGTATGTCCGTTATCCCAGTTTGCAGAAATGTGTTTCGTTGTAACGAAAACACTGGATATATAAATGTGTCATGCTATGATCCTAAGAATTTCTAAATATGTAACCTTATAATTGTATAAACACCCATTACTATATAACATGTACGGTATGGTATCTCAGTATTATGAATACCCAGTCGACCGTAGGGTGTACACGGCTCATACTTGTCATGGGGCCGCACAGGGCAATGGACTGCAACATCCATCAAACTGTTCACGTGTTACTTAAATATAAAACGTCAAACGACCAAACAGATTTTCAGTGCTTGAAAGGCAGTGATAATTACACGACTGGGTCACTGAGTGTATTATTATGTTTGTTGTTATTATAATATTTATAACAAAAGATAATAGAAAAGATAGTTCAAATCTAGTGGGTCACTTTTTCAATTTTATTCTTAGTTGCATGACACGTTTTCATGTACACTACGTGAGAATAGATAACTTCTACTGTCACACGATGAGAATTATACGCCGTGTCACAATTATATTACGGGTAGATATAAACTAATTTATACACCAAACCCTATATATAGAGTGTACATTATGCAGTACTTATTATACGTATAGTCCCCTCATTCTGACCATCAAAACCGGACCCTGTGATCATGCTTGATAACTGACCACCAAGGTAAGAAGTGGTGACAAGCATTCAGTGATGTAATTTAAATGTTTTTAACGTTTCAATATACATTCTGTCAAATTATCACTTCATTTTATCCAAATGCAACGTGTTTTCAACCTTGATAAAATTCTTTAACCATCTGGTGTCTGTACAATGTAAAATTTCAATTCAATATGTTCCAAATGTTACACAACAATTTTAACATTTTGCAATAATTTAACGCGCAAAATGTCCAGAAGCCTTGCCACATAGTACAATGGACGTCTGACACATGTTCTGCAGACTCTCAGGCCGCGTGCTTGAGTCTGACATGATGATGAATCTCGATACACGAACACCCCCCCCCCCCCCCCCCCCCCCCCTACATGTCCTTGACTAGGGCACACAGGGGGAGTGTCCCAACACTTGTCATGTCAACGTATGTCCGTGTCAGCCCAGAGACAGGTGACGAGGTGAGGGAAGGCCGTCAACGCTTAGCCCTTTACAATGGTCTCTCAGTTATATAACATAGCCACGGAGCGGTCAGTGTAGACACCCCCCCCCCCCCCCCCCCCCCCTCTCGTAAGGTTTCGTCACGACACGGGGGATCCCTTGGGGGACAGGACACGCTCACCTGATAGCGCCCAACCGGTGCTCTCACTATTTGATTCATTAACACGTGCTTGTGATAAAGTCGTTTCTCACAGATTGTTGTTCGGTTTTGTGCTTAATATTTTGTAAAGTATTTATATTTAACGTCAGACGTCACTTTACTAGGGCCACAAATTACCTATGATCATGGGTTCGGATCCCGATGCGTCTACTACTACTACTACTACTACTACTACTACTACTACTACTACTACTACTACTACTACTAGAGCAACTACTGCTACTTCAACTACTACTTCTACTACTACTACTACTTCAACTACTTAGACTACTTCTACTACAACCACACTAAGACTACTAAAAACTACTACTAATCCTACTACTTCTTCTACTACAACTACTACTATTTTTACTACTACAACTACTAAGACTACTTCTACTACAACTACTACTACAACTACTACTACTACCACTATACTACATCTACTTCTTCTACTATTACTACTGCCACTACTACTACTCCTTCTAGTACTACAACTACTAATGTAAGACCACTTCTACTACTACTACTACTACTACTACTACTACGACTACTACACAGCTATTCCCCTGAGTGCATAATCGTCATAGTCAGTGCACAAGAACACTACATGCGTGGGTCCAATAACTTAATGAATCATGATCTCGGCATCAAAACGAATTGATCTCAATATAAAGCTATATGTCACCTGCCCCTTTAACCTCGTAATAAACATCACATATATGTCACACAGACAATGGACTGCCTGTTTGGATTAAGACCACGTATGTCGATCAGTCAAGCATTGATTGAACTCTATATCCGGGATCATTTTCCGTATCCACCGACAATTTAGATACAATCCAAAGAAAAAAGAAAGTACCATAATAAAAATTCATCGCACATGACCTCGAAGATGACGTAGATATTCAATGAAAACATGGCACAATGGGTTTTTAAAAATTTCAGATACAATGAAATATTAAAAACGTAATTTAGTATTTACACAAATATTAAGCGATAATAATAAATGTTAAGCCCTAATTTTAAATTATAGTGAAGTAGTATACTAATTAGTCGTAAGGTTTAAAGTTTTCTTCTGAGTAGAAAGGTAGAACCCAAACCTAATCCACATACAGACATTTAGCTACAATGTTAACAAGTGTTCTGGATTAACAGTATAATTTGTAGTCTTTTTGCAGCAAATACACTCTAACAGTTATGAGACGAAGAAAAAACCTACCTTTGATTGTCATGATCGTGGAAGTATATGAGAGACCTTGCCTTGATATGTGAAGATTTCCATGTTTCTCCGGGCCGCGACTGTCCCCGTCCGACTGTCAGCCTCTACGGCATATTTATGAGGTTACCAACTGTCATGGTACACTGGCCCGCTAGCCCGGAATTATAGAGGACACACTGAGCGACAGGCTTGTAGGGGTGATAGTGGGGATGGGAGCTTGCCCAGGCGTGGGTTAGACGGTGGAGGAGACGTTGGATGAGAAGGTGCTGGTGGCGGTAGGGGAGACGTTTGAGGAGACGGTGGAGGAGAAGTTGGTGGAGACGGTGGAGAGATGGTGATAGAGACGGTGGAAGAGAAGGTGAGGTAGATGGTAGAGACGTGAAGGAGACAGTGGAGGAGACGTTGGAGGAGACGTTGGTGGAGACGGTGGAGAGATGGTGATAGAGACGGTGGAAGAGAAGGTGAGGGAGATGGTAGAGACGTGAAGGAGACAGTGGAGGAGACGTTGGTGGAGACGTTGGTGGAGAAGTTGGTGGAGAAGTTGGTGGAGACGGTGGAGGAAACGATGGAGAATGTGAAGATGGATGGTGGAGTAGACGGTGGAGGAGACTGTGGAGAAGAAATGGTGAAGGGAGATGGTGGAGAAGACGCTGGAGGAGACGTTGGCGGAGACGGTGGAGGAGACGGAGGAGGAGACGGTGGAGAAATGTGAAGGGAGACGGTGGAGGAGACGATGGGGAAATGGTGCAGGGAGGTGGTGGGGGAGATGGTTACCGTCGTCCTGCCGATTAGTACATGTACCTTGTCTCGGCTGCGCAATGCGGTGTTCAACTATATAACTGGGTTATGCAATGTCTTATCGCATAGCTACACTTACATGGTAACACATTGACACAATCAGTCATACTCATTTGCGGGGTGTGCCGCGTGCCCTGCATACAACAAACAACCTCTGCATCTTGGATACATCACTGATGGCAGTATGTAGGCGAGTGTCTACCCTCTTCTTGTACGTCGGAACGAAATCCTGTCTGTAATGTTTATCGAAGTGTGGTACGAAATATTGCTTAATTAATTACATGGATAACCACAATGTGCAACAACCATGTGCTACAACCGTGTACAACGACCTACAACCCCCATGTACAACCACCGTGTGCTGCAACCATGTACAACCACCTACAACCACCATGTACAACCACCTTGTACAACCACCATGGACAGCCACTATGTACAACCACCTTGTACAGCCACCGTGTACAACCACCTTGTACAACCACCTTGTACAACCACCGTGTACAGCCACCTTGTATAACCACCTTGTACAACCACCTTGTACAACCACCTTGTACAACCACCGTGTACAGCCACCTTGTATAACCACCTTGTACAACCACCTTGTACAACCACCTTGTACAACCACCTTGTACAGCCACCTTGTATAACCACCTTGTACAACCACCTTGTACAACCACCGTGTACAGCCACCGTGTACGGCCACCATGTAAACCACCATGTACAACCACCATCTACAACAACCACCGTGTACAACCACCTACAATCACCGTGTACAACCACCTTGTACAACCACCATGTACAACCACCGTATACAACCACCACCTACAACAACCACCTACAATCACCATGTATAACCACCACCTAAAACCACCGTGGACATCCACCTACAACTACCGTGTACAATCACCACCTAAAACCACCTTGTACAACCACCGTGTACAACCACCGTATACAACCACCGTGTACAATCACCACCTAAAACCACCTTGTACAACCACCGTGTACAGCCACCGTATACAACCACCGTGTACAATCACCACCTAAAACCACCGTGTACAACCACCGTGTACAATCAACACCTAAAACCACCGTGGACAACCACCTACAACCACAGTGTACAATCACCGTTTTCAGCCACCGTATACAACCACCGTGTACAATCACCACCTAAAACCACCGTGTACAATCACCTACAACCACAGTGTACAATCACCACCTACAACCACCGTGTACAATCACCACCTACAACCACCGTGTACAACCACCGTGTACAACCACCGTGTACAATCACCACCTAAAACCATCGTGTACAACCACCGTGTACAATAACCACTTAAACCACCGTGTACAACCACCGTGTACAATCACCACCTAAAACCACCGTGTACAACCACCGTGTACAATCACCACCTAAAACCACCTTGTACAACCACCGTGTACAATCACCACCTACAACCACCGTGTACAACCACCTACAACCACCGTGTACAATCACCACCTACAACCACCGTGTACAATCACCACCTAAAACCACCGTGTACAAACACCGTGTACAATCACCACCTAAAACCACCGTGTACAACCACCTACAACCACCGTGTACAATCACCACCTAAAACCACCGTGTACAACCACCGTGTACAATCACCACCTAAACCACCGTGTACAACCACCGTGTACAATCACCACCTAAAACCACCGTTAACAACCACCGTGTACAATCACCACCTAAAACCACCGTGTACAACCACCGTGTACAATCACCACCTACAACCACCGTGTACAATCACCACCTACAACCACCGTGTACAACCACCGTGTACAATCACCACCTAAAACCACCGTGTACAACCACCGTGTACAATCACCACCTAAAACCACCGTGTACAATCACCACCTACAACCACCGTGTACAACCACCGTGTACAATCACCACCTAAAACCACCGTGTACAACCACCGTGTACAATCACCACCTAAAACCACCGTGTACAACCACCTACAACCACCGTGTACAATCACCACCTACAACCACCGTGTACAACCACCGTGTACAATCACCACCTACAACCACCGTGTACAACCACCGTGTACAATCACCACCTAAAACCACCGTGTACAACCACCGTGTACAATCACCACCTAAAACCACCGTGTACAACCACCTACAACCACCGTGTACAATCACCACCTAAAACAACCTTGTACAACCACCGTGTACAATCACCACCTAAAACCACCTTGTACAACCACCTACAACCACCGTGTACAATCACCACCTAAAACTACCTTGTACAACCACCGTGTACAATCACCACCTAAAACCACCGTGTACAACCACCTACAATCACCACCTACAATCACCGTGTACAATCACCACCTACAACCACCGTGTACAATCACCACCTACAACTACCGTGTACAATCACCACCTAAAACCACCATGTACAACCACCTACAACCACCGTGTACAATCACCACCTAAAACCACCTTGTACAACCACCGTGTACAATCACCACCTAAAACCACCGTGTACAACCACCTACAATCACCACCTACAATCACCGTGTACAATCACCACCTACAACCACCGTGTACAATCACCACCTACAACCACCGTGTACAATCACCACCTACAACCACCGTGTACAATCACCACCTACAACCACCGTGTACAACCACCGTGTACAACCACCTACAACCACCGTGTACAATCACCACCTACAACCACCATGTACAATCACCACCTACAACCACCGTGTACAACCACCATCTACAACCACCGTGTACAATCACCAGCTACAACCACCGTGTACAACCACCACCTACAACCACCGTGTACAATCACCACCTAAAACCACCGTGTACAATCACCACCTAAAACCAGCGTGTACAACCACCTAAAACCACCGTGTACAATCACCACCTAAAACCACCTTGTACAACTACCGTGTACAATCACCACCTAAAACCACCGTGTACAACCACCTACAATCACCACCTACAATCACCGTGTACAATCACCACCTACAACCACCGTGTACAATCGCCACCTACAACCACCGTGTACAATCACCACCTACAATCACAACCTACAATCACCGTGTACAACCACCACCTACAACCACCGTGTACAATCACCACCTAAAACCACCGTGTACAATCACCACCTAAAACCACCGTGTACAACCACCTAAAACCACCGTGTACAATCACCACCTAAAACCACCTTGTACAACTACCGTGTACAACCACCTAAAACCACCGTGTACAATCACCACCTAAAACCACCTTGTACAACTACCGTGTACAATCACCACCTAAAACCACCGTGTACAACCACCTACAATCACCACCTACAATCACCGTGTACAATCACCACCTACAACCACCGTGTACAATCGCCACCTACAACCACCGTGTACAATCACCACCTAAAACCACCGTGTACAACCACCGTGTACAATCACCACCTAAAACCACCTTGTACAACCACCGTGTACAACCACCACCTACAACCACCGTGTACAATCACCACCTACAACCGCCGTGTACAATCACCACCTACAACCGCCGTGTACAATCACCACCTACAACCACCGTGTACAATCACCACCTACAATCACCACCTACAACCACCGTGTACAACCACCGTGTACAATCACCACCTACAACTACCGTGTACAATCACAACCTAAAACCACCGTGTACAATCACCACCTAAACCACCGTGTACAATCACCACCTAAAACCACCGTGTACAACCACCGTGTACAATCACCACCTAAAACCACCGTGTACAACCACCGTGTACAATCACCAGCTACAACCACCGTGTGCAACCACCACCTACAACCACCGTGTACAATCACCACCTACAACCACCGTGTACAATCACCACCTAAAACCACCGTGTACAACCACCTACAACCACCGTGTACAATCACCACCTACAACCACCGTGTACAACCACCGTGTACAATCACCACCTAAAACCACCTTGTACAACCACCTACAACCACCGTGTACAATCACCACCTAAAACCACCTTGTACAGCCACAGTGTACAATCACCACCTAAAACCACCGTGTACAACCACCTACAATCACCACCTACAATCACCGTGTACAATCACCACCTACAACCACCGTGTACAATCACCACCTACAACTACCGTGTACAACCACCATGTACAACCACCTACAACCACCGTGTACGATCACCACCTAAAACCACCTTGTACAACCACCGTGTACAATCACCACCTAAAACCACCGTGTACAACCACCTACAATCACCACCTACAATCACCGTGTACAATCACCACCTACAACCACCGTGTACAATCACCACCTACAACCACCGTGTACAATCACCACCTACAATCACCGTGTACAACCACCGTGTACAACCACCTACAACCACCGTGTACAATCACCACCTACAACCACCATGTACAATCACCACCTACAACCACAGTGTACAACCACCACCTACAACCACCGTGTACAATCACCAGCTACAACCACCGTGTACAACCACCATCTACAACCACCGTGTACAATCAGCACCTACAACCACCGTGTACAATCACCACCTAAAACCACCGTGTACAACCACCTAAAACCACCGTGTACAATCACCACCTAAAACCACCGTGTACAACCACCGTGTACAATCACCACCTTAAACCACCGTGTACAACCACCTACAATCACCACCTACAATCACCGTGTACAATCACCACCTACAACCACCGTGTACAATCACTACCTACAACCACCGTGTACAATCACCACCTAAAACCACCGTGTACAACCACCTACAATCACCACCTACAATCACCGTGTACAATCACCACCTACAACCACCGTGTACAATCACTACCTACAACCACCGTGTACAATCACCACCTAAAACCACCGTGTACAACCACCTACAATCACCACCTACAATCACCGTGTACAATCACCACCTACAACCACCGTGTACAATCAAC